CCTCTCCAGCTCACAGAGGAAATCCTTGGCATCTTGAAGCTTTGAGGTAAGAAGTGGGATAGTGTTTAAAAGCCATTCAGTGGCCATGTCTTCTCTAGGAAGAGACAGAAATGCTTCAGTTTTACAAAATTGGATAGACTTTTCAGAATCTAGTTGAGCACTCATTCTTTTTTTTTTTTCCAAAAGCAGATATTAATATTTTTAAAACAATAAACATCAGCAAGATAAAATGCAAGTGCAGTCTGGGAATATTTCCTCCCAAGACCTGTAAACTCGGTGAACAAAACATATGGAACAATAAAATAGTAAAATTCAGAATTCTTGACTAGGTACAAAGAGCAGACCCAAGAATGAGTCTCATGGTACCCACACAAAACTTCCTTAATCAAAGCATTTCAGTTTTAGTTAGAAGTATAAGCTTCAGCTTTTAAATAAATATCTTCCTTTTATTTTTTTCACTCTATTCACTGTTCACCGTTTAGTCCACTCTTCATTGTTAAGGTAATTGAAAATTCAGTCATAATGTGCAACTTGATAATAAGTTTTAGATGAAACAATGGCTATAATTTCTGGTGAGGTCTTGTACTGTAAGTGACTTAAATGAAGTAAAAAGAGAAAGAGATTAGCTTTTCTAAGTGTTCAGTTGTCAGTGGTAAGTGTTTCACAAATCAAAATTGATATTAATATGTCATTTGAAAGACAGCAATAACTTTACTGTCATTTGTATATCAAATGTCTATTCATGACAAAGTCCTATGAACGGTGAAGATCACTTAATATCTGTATTTCGTGAACATTTTTGTTTAAAGACAGACAAGTGGAAATTTGTTCTACCAATTGTATCTGACAATTATACATGAAATTATGTAAACAGACATTACAGAATGCATCTCATTAATTATTCTGACATGCTCATCTACATTGTTTCAGCAAGCTGAGTGCAATCTTTCATGATAGTAACACAGTACTCACACACTAGAATTTAGATCCTTAGACAATCCAGGATATTTCAGTTGAAATTGGTGAGTTTCTTTTCCCACAATGTGCTGATTATCTGTGTGTTAAATGTGCCATTGGTAGATTGGTTTTTCATTGACCAGCAAAGGAAAGCTGAAGAAACTCTTGTAAACAGCTTTTGACATGAGAAGGTAGAACAAAGCAAAAAACTTCTGAGAACACTTAAGATTCAAGTACATGAAAGCATTCTTACAGCAAGTGAAAAAAATACAAATTTAAAATACTCTCTATAAATTTTCGTTGTATGGGTTTTTGCATCATATTTTGAAAATCAAATTAAAAAAAAAAGTTTTCAAAATGTAAGATTTTTATGTACATACCCAAATATTAGTACCCAAATATTCTTTGCAGGGAATGAGAAGTTAAAAATCTAAATACACCTCCACATCAGCAAAATTTCTGTATTTAGAGGTTTCTTTTCAATAGCATTCACCACTGAGTGGTGAATAACTGGATATGGAAACAGAATAATATTCTTAGTGGCTGGTGAGAAATTAATATACTCTCTCCAAACAGCCTCCAGCTCTTATAGTTGATCTATATTAAAGGTGCTTTTTACCCAGAACTGTGGCAGCAAGGATGTGAGCCTTCTCTGTATCAAGCTCATTAGAAATACAGAAAAGAATGATGCCCACCCTACAATTTATTTAAAATTTACATGTGCTGACTAAACTGTCTTTTGGAAATTAATCAAGATAATGGCTGGATGAAGGGTTAATCTAGTACAAAGCAAGACATACCATCAGCACTTTATCACTGGTTGACTACTGCATTTCTTTTTGTCCAACATTATCAGTACCTTCATTCACCTGGTCCATTTAACTTTTTTTGCCCAGCTCCTGAATAGGATACTTAAATGAGGTCATTATATGAAACATAAGATATTTGCTGATCAAATTTGATGTTGAGAAGCACACTCTTACATTATGTTTATCTTCATATTTATCTGTTCTTTTTTTTTTCATGGTAATTGCATCTATAATAACTGTACATGCTTAGATGTATCAATTTTAGATTTTAAAAGTCCTAATGAAAACACTTGTTTCATATCTTAAATAGAGGAAATCTAATTGGAGGAGCATCCTGTAGTAGCCTCAGTTCAAAAAAGAATGCTCTCCAAGGCTGTCCAGGAGCCAAACTGCCACAAAAGAAAGGGAGAACTGGCTTAGCATAAATTGTACATCCAAAAGTGTTTTTGAGTCTTCTTTCAGCATTTTTGGATCTGCAAGGTTTTTTTTTTTGATTTTTCTAGGAAAATTTATGGGCTTGCTGTTACTCATGTCCTTTTGAAAGAAATACATACTCATTTTGTCTGTTAATTTTTAGTCTTGCCTATTTGAAGGTTCTTGTGACAATTCTCTCTATCTGACATTTTCCCATGCAAAATCAGATTTTTGTAGCCTTTGATTTCGCTTCTCTAAGCCTTGTGTTGATAGAAATTTCTGGTGAAACATCACTGAATTTGATGATTCTCTCTTCATAAATAGATTCATTCAGTAGGATCCTTTTGGCAAATAGTTTATGCTTACAATTTGAATGTGATTGACATAGCTTTAAAAGAAAAGGAAAGAAGACTTTGCTATGGAAATAAGACATTTTCTTCTTTGGACTCAATATATCTTGCAGGGAGAATAGGAATGAGCAAATTACTCTGGAATACTTTGGTTTATTATCACTTACAGAAAAAGGTATCTGGGAAAGACAGATGTGTTTCTGATCAGATTTTGAAAATGAAATGCTGCAAGAGGTGTCCTGGTTTCTTCTGTGGTAAAGTTAATTTCTCCTCAGTAGTTGTCATAGAGCTGTGTATTAGATTTTGAAAGAAAATGCTTTTGAAAACACACTGATGTTTTGGGTTTTGCTTAGTCATGTTTATCCTAAGTAATTTTTCCCTTCTTTTTTCCTATCTTTATTTTCCCTCTTTGTCTCATGCTCTGCCAAGTGAGGAGGTCCACAAAAAAAAAACTGGGAGAGAGTATAGCCAGGAAGTGTGCTGGAAACTGACCAAAGGGTATTCCAAAATACAGAATGTCATGCCCAGTGAGTAAACTTGGGGAGCGGGGAAGTGTCACCCAGAAGTGAGGCTGATCTAGGTTCAGGAAGAGGGGTCTGCCATCATTCTGTGGGTGCTGAGCAACTGCATCACATGTTTTTTCCATTGTTATTATAATTAATTTTATGATTAACCATTATTATTATATTTTACTTCATTTTCAATTATTAAACTGTTCTTATGGCAACATATAAATTTTGCTTTGATTCTGCTCCCCATTCCACTGTGGTCAGAGGGTTGTTGAGCAAGCACGTGCGTGGTGTTTTATCTCCAGCTGGGCTTAAAACCATGACAAGAAATGCTTGATATAAGGAACAATATGGATTTTCACCTTCTAAACTATTAGAGCTGTGAGAATTATGCATGTATTTTTTGGAATGAAGTAGGACATGTGACCTCATGGTTAGAGCAGAAAGGCCACCAAGTGAGGGGTCCCAGAGAAGTCATGTTCAATCTGCAGGAATTTTGCCACCAAGTTCAGTAAGACAAAGATTTTGTTCTAGGAACAAGTCCTAAGATAACTTCTTTCTCTCTATATGATTTATGTGGCTGAGTTGAGTCCACATACTTGTCATGCAAGAGTATTTTTTTGGCTTAAAAATGATAGTTTTACACTCTACATTCTCCCATTGCAGAAGTAGAAAGGACAGCAATTTCGCTTTGAAATTGAAATAAGCAAGAACAGTTCTGTCATTCTGAAGGATAGCTGGTTTTTTACTTCCTTTGACAATAAACCTGAAATTCAAGTGATTTTAAATTCCCTAGTATGAAAACTAGGCACTGGACTCAAAGAAGTTGTTGATACATTTTTCTCTCAACAGAGCATCCAAATATGACAAGATATGTGGGACCTTTTCTAAGTCTCATGCATGCATAAGAAAGGCCTACCTGATATGTATATATGTACATACATAATATGTATCTCTATGTATCTCTGTTTGCTTCATCTTCCATCACTTACATTGAAAAATGAATGTTTATAACCTGTCCAGAGATATTTAAAAATGCCCTCACAGGAAATGTAAGATTGTATTCAATATTTAGCTATCTATATTAAGCTAAGATTTCTAGGATTGGCTTTTCTGAAATCCAAGAAAAATTATGCATAAACTAACAGTTCATATATAGAACAATTTAGAAAAAATAACATAGTTTAGTATTTTTGCAAGTTATAAACATCTATTGTAATCATAATTACTATGAATGTCTAAATTTAGGTTTATACAACATTGAGTAGGATTATCAGAATAGGTTTATATTTCAATTGATGGTAAATTTGGGTGTAAGCTGCTTACCAGAGTAGAGTTATAATGAGATATATTCTGGAAAGATGCATACAGTCTTAGCACTAATAAATTTTATTTTCAGGCTTCCTATGCCAAAGAACAAACCAAACAGCTGCTATCCTGCAGTGATGTAAATAAGTAGCTTTCTGCTCCATATGAGGCCATTTTCCAAAGTCAGGATGTTTTTTTAGCTCATGATACAGAAAATATTTAGTGCTTATATGCACATACATAAGCTTGCCATGAAAAATGAAAGGAAAAAAAAATCCCACACTAGTTACCCACACAGTTTTGACAGTGAGGAACTGCAATCACATCCCCCTAGGTAAGTTTAATATAGAAATTTGCTGAACAGGAAGAAAATTGACAACTCTGTGAAAAAGATGGAAACAAAGACACCAAGTGATCAAGATAGATGGATAACTGACAGTGTGAGCAGCAAACAAGCAAGCACATTTTTATTGCTCAATAAGAAGTACTATTACCCTCAAGAATAAATACATAGAAGCCTGGCACTGTATCAGAATAAGAAAGTATGGGATTCACTCATATGTGTTAAATGGAGTTATTACCAAATGCAAACAGGTTACCATACCTGCTCACAATAAAGCACTGATAAACAAGAAAGGAGGCTTGCAGGGTTTGTGGAGGGCAGATCTGTGACTTGGGTAAGGCTGAGATGACTATAAACCTACTAGGAACAGAGGTGCAGTACAGTAATCTGCCTTATCATGAGGAGAAAGACCCGGCCCTTTGGTGGAATGAGGAAAGGAGGCTTTCAGAAAGGTGAGTTTCAGGCTTTCTCTGCTGTAAATCTTTACATGTGGATGATTTTCTATCTCTCTGGGTGTCTGCAGTGGTCTATTTATAGCTAAGGGAGAGAAAAGCTCTTTGAAGTTTAAGGAGAGGATTGGAAGCTTAGTCTCAGAAGTCTTTGAGGGGAAATGATGCCCAGTAGGTGAAATAGTTAAAAGCCCTTGCTTTTTATTATTATACTTTTATTTTAAACTTTTATGCAAAGAGTTTGGATTTCCTTATAATCTTTACTACCCAGGAAACTAGAATAAGAAGGAAGTTCTGAGACCTGTCCTCAATTGGAGTTACTTGAGGCAGATTGCTTCACACATCCTGGGGTAGCAGGCTCTGGAAAGCATTCTTCTGAGCCTCCTGGGGAAATTTAGTTGGTCTAGGAGCAGTAGAAGCAAGCAGGTCATTGTTTTTTACGAAGTTCTTTAGAAATACACTTTTCTAGATGGAAATCAGCCCAAAGAAGAAAAGATGTATTTTGACTAGTGATCACTTCCATTTTATACATTACTACCAGATTTTGTGGGATTTCTTGCATTTCGATTGCGTCTCTGAGCTACCTCATAGCATTGTGTTAAATCAAAAAGGAAGAGTCTCTACACACAGTAAAATCACTGATCATACATGGTCAGTTTGCATGGTTGGTGCAAACATCTGTAACAATTCTTGCACTCTCTTTGCTAAAATTTCATTATGAAATAAAGGATGAGGAGACAAAAGTTACTGATATCAATTAATTGGATGGTGGCTCATGTTCCTCAACTGTCTCAGCTGTACTATGAGTGCATGTGATTTTTGGTTTTTTCTTTTCTAGATTGCTAAATGCTCAAATCAAAAGATTTGTTGCCTTCAAATCTATTGTTCAGAGAGCAAATAAAAAAATACCCTTTTTATTTTTTCCATTTGTTCATTTGTTCGTTTTTTCCATTGATGTTCATAGCATCACACAATAGAGACTACAGGATGCAAATATGTTCTTTTTGACCTAGTGCATGTTCTAAAGCAGAGCTGGACCCTTAATTTTACTACAATGCAACGATAGTAAACTCTGATAAATTATACAGCAACAGGAGGAACATAGTTAGTTGTCTGAAGGGACAAATGAGACATGTTTATTTGATCTCCAGGGATGGATTCTTAGAACATTAGCTCATATCTGTTGGTGATGTGTGAATGAAGTTATGGATTAATGCCTTATCTAGCAAATTAATGTTGTAAAATTTGCACTTGGTGGAAGAGAAAATATCCATTTTCACTGACTCTATAGAAATGTTCCTTTCAGACTCAGGAAAAGGCAAAAATATTACTTGAATTATTAAGAAGTTATTCAATACTGTTCTTTTAAATTCTCTCTTCTAATTTTCAGTGGATAATAAATAGAGAAATATTAAGTTTTTGGGGTTTTTTTAGATTTTGGGAGTCTGTGTGTATGATTTGAAAGAGAAACTTCTTTTTTTACCTAAATCTTAAGTGGTCTAAAGAGTTATGCATGTAAGTAACATTGCTCATGGGGTTTTTTTAAGGGAGTGAGTAGATGCTCAGCCAACTTTTGTTCAACCTTTGCAATGTTCAGGGTTTTCTCTCAGACCCTGATCTGCAGGATTGCCAGATGTCTTCGTAATACAGGACCTGAGTTATTGCAATGTGCAATTATGAGTCGCTGTCCCCTGGTGACTCACATTCCCTCATTTAAGCGCTTGGAGAGACCAAATCCTACCATGGAGATACACTTACACCAGGACCATTTATTTAGCAGAGCAGTACAAAAGCTTCTTTCATCTTTGGGACCTATTGGCCAAGAAACAAATTTGACAATGAAACTCTATTTGCTGAAAAAAGGAGTGAGCCTTTGTTAAAGACAGATATTAGAAACACCAAATAGTATGAAAATAGGATGTTAACAGTATGAGTATCAGAAGAAAAGCAAGAAAAGATGGTGGTAAAAATAATAAGCAGTATGTGAAATATCTGAATGTCAGCATCTACAATAAAAAATCATAAAGACTTTGCTATATATTGCAATAGTTACCGTATTGCAACTAATACAAATTTTCATCCATTGGCTGGCTATTCCCTTCTACTCTAAAGTAATATTAATAGTGAATACACTGCAGACTTCTCTGGATTTTCTTAGGAAAAATCCCTCACCAAACTATTTCAAAATACCATTGTTTTATTTATTTATTTATTTATTTATATAAATTTTGGGTAGCAACCAATGCACTAATTCCCTATCTCGACTTAGAGAAAAATCATTAGGACCTGAATTACTAGTTTAAATAGTATAGAAAAAAGTTTGTGCATTCATAGTCAAGTAGTTTGACTTTAAAAAAAAAATTAAATTCTTGATCAGATATTACATTAAGATTTATTTATTTTAATAATAGGAAAAAATTAAACTCTTTTTTGGCTGTTTTTTAATTATTTAGATTTTTTTAGCAACATTCCAATCAAATATCATAAAGAAAGTATAGAGAGCCCTTATTAACTGATCACTTTATGAAAAGTAATTCTGTCACTATCAACCCTAAGTCACATAAATTTGGAGGACTTCAGAGATTAATAAGCTGTCTGACAATATCTGTGAGTAAATTCCTAATACTAAAGCACTATATTGGTAACGTTAGTCAACATGAGAATGTTTAACTACTTGTGGACTAACTGACATCTTACACAGTGAAAACAGAGGATTTGTCTCCGCCCAAGGACTATTTCTTTTTTCAGTAATGCCTAAAAAGCACATTCATTTTCTAAGACAGTTTTTCTTGTTTCATTGATATCCTGTTATGAAGTGGGATCACTAATCAGATGTACCAGGACCCTTACCTTCTTAGACAAATTTTTGATAATGGTGGATTTTTAAGGGTTGAATTTAGAACAAATAATAAGGTCTTAGGTTGTTTTAAATAATTCATTGCCGAAAAGAGAAACCACTAAGCTCATGAGTGTGCTGAGAAAAAAACTGGTTTCTTATCGCTGGTTTCTTATTTCTTAAAATAAGTTCTTATCTTAAACTGGATCCTTATCATTTTACCTGGAGAGTACCTGAAGAGTCTCTGGAATTAACATAATTAATGGCTAAGAAGTGAAAATAGCACTGTTGATTTCCACAGTTCATTTTTATTAGCAATGTCATGATTTTTGAAAAGCATCAACACAAAGAGAAATCAAAGATGCACTAATATTTATAATGATGCATTAAACTGAAAATGCTAAATTAGGAAGACTCAGATCACTTACATTCTGTCTACCTCACAATTGGTCCTGCAGTGCACCTTATGTACAGAACAGTGCCCAGGTCTCAGTCATTGATCCTCTTGTTCTACCAGTTAAGCCTTTGAAGCTAGTTTGTGTCATTAAAGTGGATAAGAGTTATGTCCACAAAGTTAGGGATAGGCTGCATGGCAATTACAGCAGCTGAGATTTTAGGAAGATCTTCATGCTCATCCTTTATTTACTAATTATTGTAGTTTAACTGGTAGAGTACAATCCTACCCCATGACAGAACAGAAGATGAGACTTACTCTGAAATAGACTCCAGGCTTAGCTAAAGCTTGCACTTGGCTGTGAAGAGACTGTCAAAACTTGAGACTTCCTGGACTGAAATTCAAGATGCAAGTTATCCTTCTGCCATTCATTTGCAATTCCATGAAGACGAAGGATGCGATTCCTGTTACTCTTACCATCTTGCCAAAGGTTTCTTGTTTCTTTGAAGGTCCAGAGTAATAAGCCATCTGAAAAAGAGCTTGCATGTTTGTTTCCATAGCACGGTGAAATGAATCAAACTGGTTGCTAGGTCACATATGTTATGGGATCAAAACAGTAATCAGGATTTTTTTTTTTTTTTGGTTTTTTGTTTTTTTTTTGTTTTTTTTTTTTAATATAGTAGGTTGGTAGAAAGCAAAGAGATTAAGTATGCTGAAAATGCTGTTTTAAAAACCTTCCTGTCTGGTTTACAGAGGACTTGCTTAATCTAAAGGTTCTAGAGCAGCAGATGTGTTTCTAATTACATTCTTGAAATGAAATTCTGTTATTCAGAGTCTGCAGCACAGGAAATATCCTTCAGCAAAGGGCAACAGCTGCAAAACAAAGAGATGAGCTTTAAACATTTATCCAGTGATTGGCAGGTTTTTTGCCCCCTTAGGCCTTATAAAGTTTATATTTATTCATGTAAAATGTAAAAGAGGTTTTTTAGCTGCTTTAAAATACTCTAAGCCATTTTGCCTATTCATGTAGTAAGTGGCCTGAAATGAAAGAAGACAGTGAGTACCTGCAGTACAAGCTGTTGTGATTTAAATGAACAGTGTGTTTTCAGGTAATAAATGCCTCAGTCACCCAAACACTCCTGAAAACAATGATATGCTGACATTTTTCATCTGAAGAGATTCAATGTTTCTGTATAGACAGTCTAACTTTTTAAATCCATAGTGCTCATTGACTTTGAACAAAGGCGACAAAAATATTAATAAAATTAGAGACTAGCCCAAAAATTATACCCAGCAAATTTACATGTGTGACTGGTTGTGTAACCAAGAGAATTTTTTTTTTGCAAAAGATATTCCTTGGTCATTGTAATAAATTTTCCCTGCCAGTTTGAGAAATAAAGGGTTTCCTGTATCAAACAAAACTCAATTTGCTTATGATTTCTGCTCACTGCTTCATGGCCTCTGTTTTACTTTCTTTTATGGTGTTTTGTGAAAGGGAAAGAAATATATCTATGTGAAGAAAATATTCTCTTTTTCTATCATTAGAATGAATAGATGTTGAACTAATTCCTGCAAGAACCAGGTTTTCACTTGTGTTCTCTGGAATGTCATATGGGATTGTTTAAAATACTATTTGCTTTTACTTGGGAAAGTTAAATATTGTAAACCCAGACCATGGTGATAATACAGGCTGTTAAAACACAGATTATGTAGACTCTGATATAATTTATAATAACACTTCATTGAAGATTTGTGGCAGAAAAGGTACTCGTA